CAAATAACTTTTAATTTTTATTAATTCCAAGTTCGATGAATTTTTTCGGGTATTATCGGCTTAAAAAATTATATTGAAATGATATTATTAGACATACGAGTGGCTTGTGTGTGACGTGCCTTTATATTTCACTGCTCATAACGCTAGTAAGTAACGCGCGTTGTTTGTTATTACGTATGTGATGACAGTGATCGTCGACGTTAGGCGTTATAACGCTAATATGGTGTTACAACAACGCTGTACTTTGTCACGGTAACATTTAACTGTACGTTATACGCTGATAAAGTTGTACTTCACATTACATTGTAATAACGTGAACACAGTACACAGCACACTTACACATCATCCACACACATAACGATCATGTATACTACACATTCCATACACAACACAGCCCCTAGTAAACTACACACTATACAATTCACACTGTGCATTATACAGTTCAACAATATCATCATTCAGGATCTCATCAGTGTAACCCCCCGACCCCTTCGTTCTGTCCCCCCACGGGGGGGCCTTCAATCCCATTCCAGGCACAATGGCCGCGTGTAATTCCCGATATTCCAGGATAATGGGAATCTGCTCGGCGCGTAGTTTGTTTTATGGCGATCGCGGACACTTGCGCTTCGGGTGAGAATTCCACGCGACGATCAATTTTTTTTAATTTGATTTGTTTTCGATGGAGAGGGACGATGGATTGCGATAGACCACTGAGTGGGTTCACTTTCGCTGAGTAGACCACTCGGTTAAAGTGAACCCCACTCGCTGTGAGTGGAATTTGCTCGTAGTGAGTGGCCCACTCATTTTAAGTGAACCCCACTCGCAGTAAGTGGCCCACTCGCTTGTATTGAGTGGCCCACTCTTCAACTTGTCAGCGTTTATGAATTTAATGTTATAATTACACATTATTTTAATGTTATAATTACACATTATTTTTTTCTTTATCCAAATGGAATCAGGAAGGAATTATTATTCTTATATGTTTTATCAAAAATATTTAAATTAAATATGTTATTTTTACCCAAATTTATTTTTTAGGATCTGGTCACCGATGAGTGACCGGGGACTATTTACCTAGATATTTCCAGCGAAATATTTAGGCTTTTCATTAGTTACTCATACCTGTTAGAAGTCTTGGCCGGGTTAAGGCTGGCCATCTATAATACGCACTCTCAGAAAATAGTTCCTGCAATCGTATTTTGAAAATATCAGTTTTTTCCATAAAGTAATAATTGTTCTAGAAAAAAAGCTTGGCGCAGGTAACAGGCACATGCGTCCTACACTCAACAAACTTTTTGGGTCAACTTTATTATTGTGATTTATTTTCTGGGTGCATGAAGGTCTCGGTCTGTTCCTTATTGAGTGAACCGTTGGATTCAAACAAAATTATTTAGCCATCATTTATTGATCTCCATTTTATTTTAGATCAGTTTATCATTCAATAACCATTAAATGATAATTAAGAAGAACAAATAACTATAGAAGCCTTGTAATTCATCAACTATTGAGTAGGCTCAAATCCATACATTAGAATTATTGAGAATAAGTTTCCTTATGATTTGGAATAATATTCAGACAGTTTATAATTAAAAGGAACTAAATATAGTTCTAATTAGTCCTAGTCAGAAATTGCTGAAATGCTGAAGTAACAGTTGCTGATATTGCTGAACTACTGAAGTAGCAGTTGCTGATATTGCTGAACTGCTGAAGTAGCAGTTGCTGATATTGCTGAACTACTGAAGCAGCAGTTGCTGATATTGCTGAACTGCTGAAGTAGCAGTCGCTGATATTACTTTAATACAGAAGCTTCAGACATCGCTTATGAAACAATTTCTTGCGTCGCTGGAAGGTCTGAAGCCATGCGAGGGCAGCCCTCACTTTCCCTCACTTCTTGCGGCCTCTGTTGACGACGACGCAAATATTTTGCCGGAAATATGTAAAAAGCAAGCGGGGGTTCGAACCTCACGAGTACGTATTAAAAACGCAAGACGCACGCCTACGAAGAACACACGGTCAAGGGTCAGAGAAACCTGTGTACTTGTGTACCTGTGTACCTGTGTACCTGTGTACCTGTGTACCTGTGTACCTGTGTACCTGTGTACCTGTGTACCTGAGGAAAACAGGGAAAACAGGGAGCAGTGGTGAGAGGGAACAGACAAACGGGGAACATTGGTGAGGGAAAACAGGGAAAACAGGGAGCAGTGGTGAGGGTAAACAGGCAAACAGGGAACAGTGGTGAGGGGAAACAGGCAAACAGGGAGCAGTGGTGAGGGGAAACAGGCAAACAGGGAACAGTGGTGAGGGGAAACAGGCAAACAGGGAACAGTGGTGAGGGGAAACAGGCAAACAGGGAGCAGTGGTGAGGGGAAACAGGCAAACAGGGAGCAGTGGTGAGGGGAAACAGGTAAACAGCGTACAAATTTGAGGAAAAACAGGCAAACAGGGAAAATTGATGAGAGAAAACAGGGAGCAGTGGTGAGGGGAAACAGTCACTTACTTGTAATTTATATGAAGCATAATATATAAATTTATATAAGTAGTATAATAATATATCAAGCCTCTGAATAACAAGCTATGAAGTACCTAGAGTTTATTCTTCTAGATAATTAAGTTGTTGCCGCGTCTGCTCTAGAAAAGAACTAGTCTAGTCTTCATCTAGCCGTATTCGCTGAACTGTTCTACACGTGCTCGCGTGTTCCCATTGCTGTTCTAGAATACTAGACAATAAATTCTTACCTAGCGCAAAGCAAAATAGGAACTTAATTATATCATGCCGCATGCGACGATGACTAAATAGTGCATTTAGTGGCGGTACATAAACGTCCATCTTTTATTTTGTATTAATTTTTTTGTCTCCATATATCATGTGGTATTATTAATATGCATCATTTCCTTTATTAATTTATTATTGATTTTTATTACTATTGTTCCTAAATAATTAAGGTTTTAACGACCGCCTAGCGTAACGAGCGCTCATCAATTTACCATTTTTCTAGAAAAATGCGATGGTGGCCGTTGGTGACATAAACATAATTTCCTCAAACCTATAATTATTTTCACTATTAGTAATCTTTTTATATTGAGGCATAATCTTTGTTTATTGTTCGCATTCTATTTTAATTTGAGTAACCCCATATTTATATCTTTTATTCAAGTAAATAATATTTCTTCAATGTTGATAATCTATTTTAGTAGTAATATGTTTTTACGATTATTATTAATATATTTTTCTACTTATTTACTTTCTTCAGTGTAGATAACCTATTTTTAGTAGCGGTAATACTTTTTACGCTTCTTAGTAATATTTTTTACGTCGGCCCGCAAGCGGAGACGAGCGCCGCGGGCTCGCGGCGACGGCCACGCGGGAGGGACGACATCCCCACCCAACTCGCGTGGCCGCCGCCACGGCACTGGCGGCGCCACCTCTCCGACTCGCCGCCGCGGACCGCCGCACGCACCGACGCACGAACTCCGCCGCGACGGGTAACATTTTTCACGGATTCTGGGATTTTTGTAATTAAAAATTCCGTTTTAACGCGAGTTGTTGTAGGACCCCCTTAACCCCCGACACCCGCGGCCTGATTGAGGCGGGGGCGTCGAATTCGCCCGATAATTTGAGGTCTTTGAGCTGAGGTCAATGTCAGTGTATTAGACATAATGGTTTTTAGTGAATGTTAAGGATCTTGAATTTAATGTCAAGATGAGTTTATTAGTGTTGGGGTGGGTGCAATTAATGATGATTACGGTAGTATAATTGGGCTGTAACGTAATTTCTCGTTAGCTTCAAGTATGAAGCCAGTGCATATTAATTGAACTTGAAATGAGCCTAGCGCATCATACATGTTTTTTCACATAAATTTTACTATAATATTTTCACTGTTAATTTGTAATTTTAGCAACTGCCGTGAGGGAATTCATATGAAAATTCAGAAACCTCCTTTATAATAAAAAAATAAATTTACTAAAATACGAAAAACATGAATGAATTTGTTATTCAAATCGCTTTCATTTCCAGAGGTTAGCGATGTTCATTTTTGTTCGTTAAAAAACACATTAAGATCATGCATTCATACTCAGATCCAAGCCAGGCTAACTAGTTCGTTGGAGCGTAAATTACACCGCGTTCGTGCGTACGTACATGCGTGCGTGCAACGACGTCCACAAGTGGAGATTTGAGGACTGGACGTCCACCGCCGCAAACGTTGAGAGACCAACGTTCGGTCCGGGCCAAGTCCGGGGCCCAGTCTGCTTCGGCTGCTCGACGGAGGAGGGTGTCGACTGTCCGCTCCCCTGACCACGACTCTCCCGCGGCCCAGCGGTCTTCGCACCGACCAAAGTGTCAAAACCAACGAAAATTTTTATCGAGAATAATTAATTTGAACTTTTTAATGGAGATTAATAGATAAGAATGGAAAACGTATATGATCAGCATGGATTTAGATTTTTTGAGACTTTGTGAAAATTTGGAAAATTAAGTTTCGTGTTAACAAGAAGTGACTTAGTTGCTCTGAAGTGAAATTTTCGAAGAAAAAAACAAGAAATCGTGCATTGATGACAATAGTGAGTGTTGCTTTGATTAAAAAACACATTTTCATTTATTATACAATTTTTATAGTTTTGTTCAAAAAAATATTGAACTCATTTGCGCCAACAAAAATGTAACAAATTGTTCGCTTTTTATATATTCGCCGTAATTTGTTCTTTTCTTATTTTCCAAATATTTTCGACACAATTACAAAATTTTTCATTATTATTTTGTTATTCACACGATACAATTTTGAAAAATTTGAAACCTGTAAAAAATTTTCGAGTCGAAAAAATACGTGAAACCTATTTTCTATACCGCATTTTCTCACTCATTTCCAATGACCAAACTTAATTTCGAATATTTTCCTAGGAACTTTACGTTTTACAGATTTACAACTTCAGTTTAAAAATTTTTTAAACCGTTCCTCGTTAATAAAAAAATTACTAGAACATTTGTGATCGCTTTAAAACTTTATTTGATCGTTCTTATACACCTCGTTATTAAAAAAAAGTTTATTAGAACATTTGTGATCGCAAGTATCTGAAATATTTCATATCGAAGCGAATGGTGCTGTGGAGCACAGCAGGACCACAGCACTCAGCACCACAGCACACAGCAGCATGGAGGTGCTGTACCCCAGCAACCTAGCACTACTCAGCATGTTCCTCAAGCAGCCTCCTGGTGCTAGTGCTGATCCAATGCTGCTAGACCTCAAAAAAGATGAAACTCGTCACGAAAAAACAGGTTAGTTGAAATTATTTATTGTTTTTCTTATTTTCCTTGTTTTTAGCGCATTTCTCATTTATGAAAAAATGCACTATTGCGCTCGCCATTTCCATCTGTCCGTCCGTCTGTCCGTCCGTCTGTCCGTCCGTCTGTCCGTCCGTCTGTCTGTCCGTCCGTGACTTCATGTTTTCGTCGACGAGAAAATGCGCTCTCTGTCACTCACTGCAGTGAGTACTGAGTTATAATTTTTAGACTCTATTTTCAAACCACATACATAATTTATAATAAACTACTAAATTAGCGAAATGAAAATTCTTTGTCCTTTCTTATTGTAATGTTTTTCGAATAATGTTCAATTATTTTCGCGAACATATACGGCGATGGTATAATAATAATATGTACTGATAATATAAATTATATTTGGAGAACCAAAAGGAAGACTTGCAGCATATTGTACCCCATATATAATATTTGAAGGACCGAATTTATAAAGGATCATAACATCTTTACGATCTTAATATATTCGCATAAGCATTTCTCATTATTATCTCGTCCAGCATATAAATAAACTAAATTTTTAATTTTAACCACAACTCGACATATATTTACATTATATTTAATTTATTTTACTTTTTCTTCCCATTGATAATATTTTTGTAATGTTGTAAATTAATCGACATCTTGAAACGCTTAACCAAGCATAATTCAACTATAATTTTCAACAGGCAAGATTCATTACATTATTTACTATTTACTTAAAAAATATTTCTATATATTTGTAGTTCACCTAAACTAAAATTACTTAAAAATTCTGCTAACAATCCATCTAGCGTTAATTCATTTCTGCACTTAAAAGAGATGAATGAGTAGCAAATTGTGTCTAGAATTGTACACTTCATTCTCTTCTCCAGACTCCTGCCTCAGGGAAAAATGAAACTTTTATGTAACTGACCATCTATGAATAGTATATAAGTTATAAATAGAAATATTATTATTTCTATTTATATTATACAAGTTCCTAAGTCATATTTTTCGTGTAAATTTAAAATTAATGTTAATCAATTATTATTAGAAATATTGCATAAATTTCAAAGTTGTGTTGGTCTAGGAAAGGCAAATAAATTTATTCGGATATTTTTCTATAAAAACATAATTTTTTCTTAGAGAGAAACTGCAAAAAATTATTTCGTTAAAATTGTACCAAGATTTCAATATTTGCAAATTTAGCTGATTTGGAAAAGGCTACAAAATTTTTCAAATGGATTTCTTCAAATATTCCAAAAATTTCATAAATCCATAAATGATGATAATATTTTAATACCAAAGTTCAATAATATTCAATATAATGGTTCAAAATTCAAGTTAAAGTTGGCTGATTATGTTCAACACAATCTTATCTCATACCTGATAGATTTCATTATTTTGTGTTATAGGTAAACGCTTCAGAATTTATATCTGCATTCATGAAAAATTTGCACGCATATGAAATTTTGAAGCTAATATTTTTTAAATATACTACAATATTATTTTTCAAGATAGTAATTTCCATATTCAATTCTGATCACTTTATTACAACTTAATTCTTTCGTTATAATGAATAATTTCCAAGCAAGCAGCACATATATATAACTTTCAGATCATCCATTGTATATTTTTTGTGTGTGGCCATACATTGAAAAAATACTTATGAAAATATAGCAATACTTTTATTTATCGTTGTTGTTTAATAGCAATCTTTTCTTCATTATTACGAGTCTATTTATGGCTTAATAAAACAAAATATTTAGCATGGCAAATGTTATACAAAATTGAATGTTCATTGTACCGAATTTTTAAGGGGCAGGTAAATATTTTAACTTAAAAATAAATGATGAAAAAGCGCTAAAACGAAGCAAAATAATATATATGTGCGTCATTATATATCAGGCAAAGGTGCGTTAATTAATTCAACGCCGTAAATGAGATTAAATGGTAATACTTAATAATATTATAACATATACAATATTATTCGCTTTTATTTTACAGTTTTCTCCCTATTAAATATTAAAAATATTTTTCCGGCCGCAACGGTTAATTGATATTCGTGATTTGAATGAAAGATTTCACAAGTTTGCTTCATAATATTGATTACAAATTATAATACCTATAACATTCATTTATATATTGCCAGGTGTATAACAATGTTACTCATGAAACTGTGATTAATAATTATCCACTTTTTCATAAGCAATTTTCTATAAAATTTTATTTACCTAGTCGTAATAAATAATTTTTTAAAACTGTAATATACAAAATGAAATACGACGTAAAAAATATCACTCTTAAAAATCAGAAGCGCTTAAATTTATACGTTAACGCATAGAATTTAAATAAACACAGGTTTATCGCTAACTTATATACTTTAAGGTATCATAATTAAAATTTTACTTAAAACAATTTTGTTGTGTAATAATTGTAAATATTCGAAATATATTCAATTAATTAAATTGATTGCATTTCACCGCAAAGTTCGTCTAATGAGCAACACAACTCAAGTTATCCAAACTCATATCGTCCAACTTGAAAACTTTGTTCAACTTCGCCCAACTTTCTGGAACTAAGTTCGGTGGCCGCAGGCTGGCGTTCGCGCCCGCTGCAATGCTATTCCTACGGGAAAAAGTTAAGAAACTGTAACACTTTTGCATGAGCTAATATTGCCACTGCAATGCTATTCATACGGTAAAAAGTTAACAAAATGTAACACTTTTGCATGAGAAATCTTGCCGCTACAATGCTATTCCTACGAGAAAAGTTACTCGAGTACCGCTGTTCGGCGCGTGATCGTCCCGATACAAATTCCCGTTTTGAATGTAATTTTTTTCTAATGCTATTCGTACGAGAAAAGTTTCAGTTCCCCCCACGTGGCCGACTGGTTAGACCGGACCGATCGTGAATGCGGTCCGCGTGGCCCACACGCGCGCCCGGTAAAAATGTAAACAAAATGAATGTGAATGAAACGTGAACAAATGCAGGGCATTCATGAGCACGCGTTGAATGGTCTGCAGGGGTGTTGCATGGTCTGTAGGGGTGTTGCATGGTCTGTAGGGGTGTTGCGTGGTCTGTAGGGGTGTTGCGTGGTCTGCAGGGGTGAGGGGTGTTGCGTGGTCTGTAGAGGTGTTGCATGGTCTGCAGGGGTGTTGCGTGGTCTGTTGGGGTGTTGCGTGGTCTGTAGGGGTGTTGCGTGCTCTGTAGGGTTGTTCCGTGGTCTGTAGGGTTGTTGCGTGGTCTGTAGGGGTGTTGCGTGGTCTGTAGGGGTGTTGCACGGTCTGTAGGAGTGTTGCATGGTCTGCATTAGTGTTGTTGCCGCAAAAAAAAAAACAACAAGTTTCACCGCAAGTTTCATTTCTATTTCATTTTTTACATTTTTTCCTCCCATTTCCCGCTGGACCGAAGTGCGGGTCCGGCATTTTTCGGTTCCGGTCAGCGGAGGAGAACCGCGCGTGTGGTCCGCGTATGGGCGTCTTATCGCCGGCCAACCGGCCAGTCAGAAAAATAAATAAGCCATAGATATATTGTCCAATATAATATATAATAGATATATCAATATATAATAAAACTTATATTGTTGACACACTTTCTGATTCGCTCTTTTTGGGCGGGTCAAACTGTGTCAGGATGACCCACATACGCGTACAAAGTGCACTAGTTGTTGAACAAGTAACACTCATATAAATATATATGTTATTTATTGTTATATTAATATTTTTTATAATATTAATATAAGATATACTCATAAAGCCTGCTATATGGGGACGTGCATATAAGATATACTCATAAAGCCCGCTATATGAGGACGTGCATATAAGATATACTCATAAAGCCCGCTATATGGGGACGTGCATATAAGATATACTNCAGACTTCTTTTATTGTCTGCCTTCATTACAGACTTCTTTTATTGTCTGCCTTCATTGCAGACTTCTTTTATTGTCTGCCTTCATTACAGACTTCTTTTATTGTCTGCCTTCATTACAGACTTCTTTTATTGTCTGCCTTCATTACATACTTCTTTTATTGTCTGCCTTAATTACAGACTTCTTTTATTGTCTGCCTTCATTGCAGACTTCTTTTATCGGTCATCTAATTGGCATCACATAATCAGAAGATCGAATTAATCTTCGTGTCTCCCAGGCACGAAAGTCTGCGGTGAACGCACAAAAACTTTCGTATTCGTGCGTCGTGCTCGATAAGTTACTGTTACTAACACACTGTCGTAAGTATTACTTACGACAGAGCGTAATAATTTAACTATATAATATACTTAATTACTTAATTATATACTTAACTATAATAAGTTACGGCAATAATACTTACTTCGTAAGTATTTACGAAGTAAGTAATACTTACTTCGTAAGTATTATTTACGACATCCTACTTATACGACGTCCTACTTACGAAGTCCTACTTACTACGTCCTACTTAGGAAGTCCTACTTACGACGTAATACTTACGACGTCCGACTTACGACGCCCTACTTAGGAAGTCCTACTTACGACGTAATACTTACGACGTCCTACTTACGACGTTCTACTTACGACTGTCGTAAGACGAGGGCGAGTCTCCCGCGTCTCCTAATTCGGTTACCGCCGCGCGCCTGTCTGATTAGCGGACCTCCATTAGCTGCCGGTAACTAATGGTAACAGAGCCACCACTGCACGCACCGGGGCCTCCATTAGCGGCCGGTAACTAATGGTAACAGAGCCTCCACTGCACGCACTGCATTGGGCTGTGTGAATGTGGACTCTGTGTGTTCTGTGTGTGGTTTGTGTGTGGACTGTGTGTGAACTGTGTGTGGACTGTGCGTGTGTTGTGTGACTGTGGACCGTGTATACGGGCTGTGTGTGGACTGTGTGTGTGCTGTGTGTGATCTGTGTGTGGACTGTATATGTTGATTGTCTCAGGCCACAATTTGTGTGCCACAAATTTTTTTGTGGTTGAACTTGTGCTTCTTCCTCTTCCTTTTGTGTTGTGTGGACTTGTGTGTTTGTTGTAATATGTCGTGTAGCCTCGGCGATACCTATAATGAGAATTATACATACATTATCTGTTTATTCCGAGACTTATACATACATTATCTGTTTATTCCGAGACCAATATATATATATATATATTATCTGTTTATTCCGAGACCTATACATACATATATTGTCTCCTTGTACCCAGACCTATACGTATATTATCTGTCTATACCGAGACCTATACATATATTATCTCATGATACCGAGTCTCATAAATATATTATTCATTTCAACCGAGTCCTATAAATTTATTATTTATCTCACACAATATACTATTTTTCTCTGTGTCCTTGCGCTGCGACGAGCTATTCATTAATGAATTAATTGACATTTTAGCGTAAAAAACTTTAATGTCGTAAGCTAACCTCGTGCCTAACGAGCCAATCAGCGGCCTCGTTACAAGGTCGCGCTCTCATTGGCTGGCCGCTGGTCAAGGTCACACTGTGATTGGTCAGCCTAAGGCAATTAATCCGGCCAATAGGGTCCGCCCAATTCCTGGCCGCTGTCCATCCTATTGATCAGCAACAAGTTTATCGATTTATCTTATTTACCCTCTGATAACTATATTACACAACTATTATTATTATCACCTGATGTTAGCTAAATTATTCATATAGTGTCGGTATTACCTGTTAATAACTATATTATTTATCTGTATATCTTAAATGATTATTTCACTTTTAAATAGCCGGTATTTGGCCACCCATAAATCACCGGTGTTTGGCCACCCATAAATCGCCGATATTCGGCCACCCACGCGCCGCTTGTCCGTCATTGTGAGGCTAATTGTCGCCACACAATCGCCGGGTTACAATTGGCAACAAAACTGTCGCTTATCGTCGTTATTGTGCAGAGCTTGTTATTGTGCACAGCTTGTTATTGTGCACAGCTTGTTGTTGTGCAGAGCTTGTTATTGTACAGAGCTTGTTATTGTGCACAGTTTGTTATTGTGCACAGCTTGTTATTGTGCAGAGCTTGTTATTGTGCACAGCTTGCTATTGTGCACAGCTTGTTATTTTGCTGCAAAGCTACTGTTATTATTAACTATATTTGTGCTGCTCTATAATTGTGCTGCTCTATAATTGTGCTGCTCTATATTTGTGTATATAATGGTATTATATTGCATGCATATGTATGTATGATTGTATTGTATGTGTGTAAATGCTGCTGTATCGTATAGTAGCCTGAATGTATTTTTTGGCCCAGAGATTTCATTTCTTATAATACAAATTTAGTATTCATTTTATTCATTGAAATTCAACATATGCATATTGGATAAGATGCATATTAAAGTACATATTTACCTGTAACAATAGACTTCGAAAAATTTTCTCCTGTGAATTTTTATAAATAACACAAATTGTACAATTCCAAGTATTTGCTTATTAATTATTCAAGTTTCGTGGTAAGTCAAATCTGGTCCAAAATCGCACATATTTAAATGTGTGTAGTTTGAAGAGACCTGCATGCCTTTCACGCTTTCAGAGACACCTTTTTTGTTAGGTTTTTTGTAAAGAAGTTTTTGCTCTGCATATGAAAAGGTTGATTCAGAGCGTCGTGTGTGAAAGGGAGACCGGGCTGTGTGCCTATGCATTTGTGTATGTATGTTGGTGTGTGTGTGTGTGCTCGTGCTATACAGAAGGGGGCATACAGCAGCAGCTGCATGCATGCCATTATACAAGCCTTAAATACATGGAAAGGGGAGAGGGAAAGGGAAGGAGGGGTGAGGGAAAAGGAAGGAAGAAGGGTGATCAAAAAGGAAGCCCGCAATGCAGCGCAGGATTTAAGTGAACACGGTTTTTTTTTCTTTGTATATGAACGTGATGTTTAACGTCCAGAACATTAACGGCCTCCCATCTCCATAACGTAGGAGATTTCTAAACAATACAAAACTCAAATTGTGCTGTAAAAATATTTATTCTATACAAAATCCGACAAAAAGGGTTTATAAACATAAACTATATTAAATAAATAAGTTGAAAAATCTCCCATTGTGCAGGAAAAATATTCTTTTCTAAACCAATCCGACAAAAAAAGTTGAAAAATACTAAACTAGAATTTGAATAAATTAATAAGTTAACAAATCTCCCCTTGCACAGTAGAAATGTTTTATTCTAAACCAATCCGACAAAAAGGGTTTAAAATTTTAAAATTAAATTTGATTAAATAAATATGTTAACAAATCTCTCATTGTACAGTAAAAATGTTTTATTGTAGACCAAACCGACAAAACGGGTTTAAAAAAACAGAAACTTAAATTTGGTTAAATTAATAAATTAACAAATCTCACATTGTGCATTAAAAATGTTTTATTCATCAGAAAATTCAACAAAAATGGCTGAAAACATACACTGTTAGAAAAAACGGTGAAAAAACAGTCCCACCGGCATCCTAGTGGCCGGTCGCCCCGTGAAAATAAACTGTTTTGCCGTTTTTATCAGATGTTTTGCAGATTTCTGGTGTTAAATTGGAATAAAAACGGTGAAACGGTGTTTCTTTTCACGTGCCGACCGGCCACTGAAACGCCGGTAATACCGTTAACGGTCATTTTTCTAACAGTGTAAATTTAAATTTGATTAAATAAATAAGCTAATTAATTAATGCATTTATCTCCACAGACGGGCTAAGCAGCAACGTCGGGGGCGGCGGGCCCGTGCCAACGTGCGCCGACGTCCTAACGTGCGGTGTCTGTCAGAAGGACTTCCTCCTAGCAGACATCCTTGGCTTCATCCAGCACAAAGTCCACTGCCAGTCCACAGCATCAAGTCCCAACCACCACAACCGCAGCACTTCAGACGAGTCCCACTCAGACGAGGCTATTAAAGACCTCAGCAACCTCAGCACCCTCAGCACTAACCTCAGCACCCTCAGCAGCGCCAGCAGCAGTGCCTGTCAACAACAAATCAACACCAGCAGCAGCAGCACAACAAGCAACAACAACAACAAAACAAACCCCCCGGAGTTGGTTGTTGATATGAATGGGGGATTGGGGTCCCCGACAGGGGGTTTAGATCCCCCCGCAACCCCCGATGATGACAAAACCAAAACCGGAAACCCGGATGGGGTTTCTGGAGACCAAGACCGGACCACCCCGCGCCCCGGCCATCAGGAGGACAAGAGGAAGAGGGAGGACCACGAGGACGCCGATGGACAGACTTTGTCCATAAGGAAGAAGGCCAAGAGCGTTCAGGACGCCGGCGCCAACACCATCAATAGCGGTGAGTACGGCGGCCGAAATATGGCCAATATGTGGCTAAAATGTGGCTAATATGTGGCTAATGTGTGGCTTATACGTGGCTAATGTGTGGCCAATATGTGGCAATTATGTGGCCAATATAAAGCCAATATGTGGCTAATATGTGGCTAATATGTGGCTAATGCGTGGTTAATATGTGGCCGATATGTGGCCAATATGTGACCAATATGTCATCATTTTGTTGTCATCAGGTGAATCATATGAAGCAAGTGTGTGGACAATTTTGATCTAAAATGTGGCTTGAATGAGGCCAATATGTGGCTAATGTGTGGCTAATGCGTGTGTAAATGTGGATAATGTGTGGCTAATGCGTATGTGAATGTGGCTAATGTGTGGCTAATATGTGGCTAATTTGTACGTAGCAAGAACCCAGCGGGCATTTACGATCCACAAAGGAACAGCAGTGAATTGAAACAAAAATTTGATAATATAATTTTTCTCAAAATATTTAAAAACGAGGTAATTTTGAATTTATCTTCTTCCCTGATTAAATACAGTTCGTTATGGATGCTGACGCTATTTTTCTATTATCTTTTCACAATATAGCCATTACTAAACATTTTGAATAATAAGAAAATCGAAAATAACATGACAAAATCGTTCGTCTGATTACATGGGAGAAATAGCTTGAATTTGATTTGAAACTTATTCCTCAATTCGAATTATTGAATAAGGATGATGAATTAAGTTGATCTGCCGTTTCCCCGGGAGAGTTTTTGGCATCCATATATGTTCGAATGATTTGAAAAACGCTATTTGTATTTTCACGCAAGTATCTATTGGTTAAAAATGTTTGTTGCGTAAATTCTTCTCATCTAAAATTAGGTCTGGGAAACATGGAGTGGGTATAGAAACTCATTTATTTATTTAACCATTCACGAGTCATTGCTGATGATGTAATTTATTAAATTCCGGAATTAAAGTATCTTTATCATATTTTTTAGTTATTGATCTATAGAGAAGCATGTCTCTCAATTAATTTACGTTAAGTATAACCGTATAAGTTTTGCAATATTTCGTTAAAAAATTATACTCATTTGATATTTAAAGTTGTTGCAACCAATATGGGCCAATGCGTGTCTGAAGTCTGGCGAATATTTTGCAAATATGTGGTAGGTGTGTGTGACATGTTTGATGAACATGTTGCTAATATGCGGTTAATATGTGGCCAATATGTTATACATTTGGGGCCCTAAGATGGCCGTGTTGGCTTACATAAAGAACATAAATGCGGCCAATAAATATATGTGATGGTCAACCTGAGATGTAAACATGTGATGTTAATGTATCGATATGTGGTATGGCTGCATACTTCTCATTAATAATATGTGTTGTGCCTGATATGTGGTGTGGCTAACATGTGGTGCTGCTAATGTGTGAAGTTACAGATATGTAGAGTTTCTAATATGTTGCAATGGTAAATATGTTTTGTGGCAATCACATAGCGAGGCTATAATGTTGTGTTTCATATATGTGGTGCTGCTACTATGCGGTAGCACATATATGCGATGTGAACAATATCTGAAGTGACCAATATTGGATATGACCGATATGCAATGTAGGCGATATGTGAGTAGCCAATACATGGACAAGCCAATATGTGATAGCCTATCAAGATGCGCTGATAAGGGCTGATGCCAATCGGTTGCCAATCGCACACTGAATTATAAAAGGAAATAAAGAGCAGCGATGCTAATAAACAAGAGCTGCGCTAATAAACAAGAGCTGCGCTAATAAACAAGAGCTGCGCTAATAAACAAGAGCTGCGCTAATAAACAAGAGCTGCGCTAATAAAGAGCGGGGACGCTAATAAAGAGCGCCATAAATTAGGCTGCGGTCGCCGTGCTGGGGAGCGACTGAATTACCGGTCCGGGATTGGGAATTGACGGGAATTATGGAATGGATCCCGACATGGAATCTGATGGAGATTCCCACATCGATATTCCGTACTTAGGGAGGACCCCACGCGCCACTACACTTGCCCCACGTGCCACTGCACTGGCCCCACGCGCCACTGCACTGGCCCCACGCGCCATTGCACTGGCCCCACGTGCCACTGCACTGGCCCCACGCGCCACTGCACTGGCCCCACGCGCCACTGCACTGGCCCCACGCGCCACTGCACTGGCCCCACGCGCCACTGCACTGGCCCCACGCGCCACTGCACTGGCCCCACGCGCCACTGCACTGGCCCCACGCGCCACTGCACTGGCCCCACGCGCCACTGCACTGGCCCCACGCGCCACTGCACTGGCCCCACGCGCCACTGCACTGGCCCCACGCGCCACTGCACTGGCCCCACGCGCCACTGCACTGGCCCCACGCGCCACTGCACTGGCCCCACGCGCCACTGCACTGGCCCCACGCGCCACTGCACTGGCCCCACGCGCCANACCTCACCCTACCCTCACCCTACCCTCACCCTACCCTCACCCTACCCTCACCCTACCCTCACCCACCCGCTAAGCCCCCTCAACCACTCCTTATTTTTCTGCTCTACTTTCTGCTGCCGTATTTTTAACAAAAATTTAATTCTTTTGGTATGATTTTGCGATTTAAATATTTTGCTGCATTACGCAGTGTGTGCAAAGTATACAGCATGCAGTGGACACAGCACACAGTATGTGTTCAGTACACAGTTTATTCAGTGTATCCGGCACACAGAATACCCCACACAGTGTCTGTGTGGGTATACAGAGGCAGCCAAACTGTCGCGCTCATTGTGTCTCATTAACACCGCACGCGCCGCAAGGAGTGCCGGTCTCTAGCTGTATACTGTGTGTGTTGTGTGTGTATACTGTCTTGTATGCTGTGTGTGTATACTGTGTGTGTTGTGTGTATGTATACTGTCTTGTATGCTGTGTGTGTATACTGTCTTGTATGCTGCGTGTGCATAATGCATTGAATTCTGTGTGTTTATTCTGTTATGTATGTTGTGTGTTTTTACTGCATTGAATACTGTGAACTGGGAAATATACTGTCACAATATTCGGCCACTGTATACCGTCGTTCCCGAGACAGTATATCGCCATAATATTGCTTATACAATATATACTCAGAGATAACATCACCTATACAATATATACGCAGTGATAACATCATAATTAACATTGCCTGAATGTTATTATCCTCTGACCGCGGGGCTGAGGGGAAAGTTGAGGGAAGTAGGTGACCCCTTGCCTGTAGCCCCTTCCTGGGGGGCTTTTCTCTCCCCTTAGGGGAAGTCGTCCCCTAAGGGGCAGCTGGACCGGACGCTGGCATGTGCTGCCTAAAGGGGAAAGTGGCCCGCTGAATATTAGGACCATTGCTTACTTAAATATTTAGAGTATTTAGCATAGAAACATCAATTATTTATTTAATTACTTCTGTCATTATCTTATCTAGCTACTGAACAGTGGCCATCTGAATATTAGGACCATCGCTTCATTAAATATTTAGACTATTTAGAGTGGATAACTATTAATTTAATTGTTTCTCTTATTATCTTACCTAGATAATTAATATTAGATTTTTTTTAGTTCAACTTATCCAAGGATTTAGATGTATCCATATTATGATACATGATAGATGATAGTATATAGTATATAGATAGATAGTAAATGATAATGATATGTTATAGTGCTATATGATGGTGCTTGACGACTGATGCTGTACTCATAATCTCTATTCACTATCACGTCACTAGTCGTAGATATCAGACTTAATTGATTAGTGTGAATGTTTGTGTGTTTACCTCACAACACAACACTGAATTATCAATGCTAGCACAAACACAAATGCAAACTTACAAGCAAAAGCTCAAGCCCAAACACAAACATGTTAGAGCACAAACCAGCGCACAATCAAAAATTTAATCACAAAAAGAGAATATGCACAATCACCACACAAACGCCAGAGTATAAAAACACAGCAACAAACACACGCACCAACACCTTAACAAACACAGCAACAAACACACGCACCAACACCTTAACAAACACAGCAACAAACACAGAAACAAACACACGCAACAAACACCTTAACAAACACAGCAACAAACACAGCAACAAACACCTTAACACACACAGCAACAAACACAGCAACAAACACAGCAACAAACACACGCACCACCACCTTAACAAACACAGCAACAAACACACGCACCAACACCATAACAAACACAGCAACAAACACACCACCACCTTAACAAACACAGCAACAAACACAAGCACAAACCCGCACAAGGCCATGCAGCAGCTGGTGCGCCGCGCCACCTGAACAGGAAGACGCTTAAACGAACCTCGACCGGTGCTGTCATATAGCGGTGTTTGTGTTGTGTTTGTGTTGTGTTTGTGTTGTGTTTGTGCTGTGTTTGTGTTGTGTTTGTGTTGTGTTTGTGTTGTGTTTGTTTTGTGTTTGTTCTGTGTTTGTGTTGTGTTTGTGCAGTGTTTGCGTTGTGTTTGTGCGGTTTTTGTGTTGTGTTTGTGCGGTTTTTGTGTTGACAGTAAAAAACTACGTAGGGAGTCTTCTTTAAATCAATTGGTTGAAGATAAATAATAAACGCGTTCATTAGGCGATCCATACACCGGTTCACAGGCCGGACAATACACCGGTTCACAGGCCAGACTATACACCGGTTCGCAGGCCGGACTATACACCGGTTCACTGGCCTGACTATACACCGGTTCACGGGCCGGACTATACACCGGTTCACTGGCCGGACTATACACCGGTTCACTGGCCGGAATATACACCGATTCACGGGCCGGACTATACACCGGTTCACTGGCCGGACTATACACCGGTTCACAGGCCTGACTATACTCCGGTTCACAGGCCGGGCTATACTCCGGTTCACAGGCCGGACTATACACCGGTTCACTGGCCGGACTATACACCGGTTCACTGGCCGGACTATACACCGGTTCACATTATATTTATTGGTTGTTCGAGGCCAGCGGTTTTTGTCTGGCGCAGTCAAAC